TAAAAGGGCCAACAACCTTGACAGACACTTCACTAAAGAAGATACACAGATGGCAATTAAGCATATGATAAGATGCTCCACATGTTATGTCATCAGGGAAATTCAAATTAAAACAACTGTTAGAATGGCCAAAATTCAGAACACTGACAACACCAAATGCTAGTGAGGATGTGGAGCAACAGGAACTCTCATTCATTATTGGTGGGAATGCAGACAGAGTGGTACAGCCACTTTGGAAGACAGTTTGGCAATTTCTTACAAAACTAAACATAGTCTTACAATATAACCCAGCAATTATGCTCCTTGGTATTTACCCAAAGTAATCGAAGACTTAATGTCCACACAAAAACTGTACATGGATGTTCATAGCAACTTTAGTCATAATTGCCAAAACATGGAAGCAACCAAGATGTTGTCCTTCAGTAGGTGAATGAATTAATAAACTGTGTTACATCCAGACAATGGAATATTATTCAGCGCCAAAAAGAAATGAGCTGGCAAGCCGTGAAAAGACATGGAAGAAACTTAAGTGCATATTACTAGGTGAAAGAAGCCAATCTGAAAAAGCTGCATATTGTATGGTTACAACTCTATGACATTCTAGAAAAGGCAAAACTATGGAGACAGTAAAAAGATTAGTGGTTGCCAAGGGTTAGTGGGGAGAGAAGAATGACTAGGTGGAAAATAAAGGATTTTTAGGACAGTGAGACTACTCTATATGATAACTAAATTTTACAGTGGTAGATACATTTGTCTAAACCCATAGAATGTACAACACCAAGAGTGAACCCTAATGTGAACTATGGACTTTGGGTGATAATGATGTGTCAGTGTAGGTTCATCACTTGTAACAAATGTACCACTCTGGTGGGGGATGTTGGTAATGGAGGAGGCTATGCATGAATGGGGGCAGAGGGTATATGGGAAATCTCTATACCTTCTGCTCAATTTTGCTGCGAACCTAGAACTGCTCTAAAAAATAAAGTCTGTGATAAAACACAATTAGATAGCACTTCATACCCACTAGAATGGCTAAAATTAAGTCTGATATTACCATATCTTCAAGAGGATGTGGAGCAACTGGACCCCTTATATTGGAGGAAATGCAAAATAGCACAGCCAATTTAATAAAATAGTATGGTAGTATCTTATAAAGGTAGACATGGGCATACCATATATGCAACAATCTCACTGCTAAGTATTTACCCGAGAGAAATGAAAACGTTAAGTCCGCAAAAATACTTCACCATAGCCCAGAACTGCACACAACATAAATCCATCCAACATAGTCCATCAGCTGGTGAGTGGAAAAGCAAATTGTGGTGTATCTGTGCTATGGAATGCTACTCTAATAAAAAGGAATGAAGTAATAACACCCGCAGAAACCTGGATAAAACTCAAAAACATTAGGCTAAGTAAAGGAAGTTGAATGCAAAGAAACTATGTACTGTATGATTCCATTTATATGAAATTCTAGAAATTTAAAACTGTAATGACTAGAAACTTGTCAGGATGATAGCACTGTTTTATTTCTTGATTGTGGTGGAGGTTTCATGACTGTACACAATTACCAAAGTAATTAAACTGTTCATTTAAATGAGTGGATTTTATTGTATGTAAATTTATACCTCAATAAAACTTAAAATGTGTTAACTGTACATTTTTTTGCTCAAATGTCGTCAGTTAATTTTCCCTTTAAGCAAAAAATTGACCCATGAACTGTTATCTTCTATTTCTCAGCACTTCAAAAGCAAAATAATAAGAAAAGAAAATAAAAATGAGGGTTAAGTGGTGAATGATATTACTTTTGTTTCAACACCAGTGAAATTGTAATTAATTTTATTAAATAAAAATTATTTTTCATATTTTCAGAGTAGAAAGAGATGAGCCAAAGGAATGTTGTCTGAGAACCCCAGGTTCTAGCTTTGAGGACTATTGTCAGGATTAAGATCTCTGTATCCTACCCTATTGCAGTTACAATTGCTTGGTCCCCAAGGGAGATTAAGACAGAAAGGACAAAATAAAGCAAAAGAGTATACATTATGACGAGCTTGATCTTTGGTCCTTTACCCCAAACTGAATCCTTGCCCTTGGTCAGCTGCACTTGACCACGTGGACCTGCTTAAGACTTATTGGTTCCTTAGCCCTAAGCAGATACCCACTAAGCTTATTCACTGGAATCTCACCATCATAAGCAAGAAAAGGCCAGGAAAGATAAACTCGAGGAGAAACTTGAGGTGGAAAAAGAGTGTGTTTTCGTAAGCCCAAAGCTAAGGTCTTTTCAAGCCCAGCGTTCTCGGGTTTTCCTAGGACCTGGGGCTTGGATGAGGGAGGGAAGAACCTCCCTCAAACTCTGCCTTACCTCACCAGCCACCTGGGAACAATCTTGGTAGAAAAGCAATACAAAGAGTAAATAAACTTTCAGCAGCTAAGCCACGGAGAGGAGAATTTAAAGAGAACATTCCTTGAAGAAACCAGAGCTAACCTCCTCATCACCTGGAAACCTTCACCACCACCCCCCTCCATCAAGTACAGAAGGTATCAGTGCCCTTCATCTTGAGCCCTGTCAATTCTTCCCCCCACCACACAAGAAAAGGCAGTTGGAGAAGCCTTGAGCTCCCCTTGCAGGCAAAGTGTTAATTTATGTCAGAAACCAAATAATAAAGGTAGTCGATTATGAACAAAAACAGCGCTTCACAGATCACCTGAAAGATCTTTGTGAATGGCCAGGGTTTCCTGGATGATATACTTTGTAGAACAAAGTGGAATTAATTTGTGACCTCTTTTAATTTCCTATGAAGGTAATTCTGTGGTTAGTGAAGAAAAGCTGAAGTGGCTGTGTATCAAAAGATAGTTCCTTATCTTCCTAGTCTATCTAGTTATAGATATGGGAGAAATGTAGTGTATGGACAATGTTTTTGGAAAGCTGGGTCTTTATGTATCTCATAGTAAATAAAAGATGATTCCTAATAGTGAGAATCAGGAGAAATAATTTTTAACATATGACTCTTGAATAATGTCTTAAACTTCTTTTTTATTTTTGCACAATAGAATAATAGAATTTAACATTCAATTAGAAGAGACCCAAATCATTGTTTCAAAAGTGGTGGTATCCTGTGAGCTTGACTTTTATATAATCTGCTTGACATACTATAGGAGGATATGCTATTGTGTGTTTACTGTAAGAGCCTACCTACGTTTTTGGTATTCATTTTAGATTTATGCCAATGTGAACTCAAGGCATGGACTGTGTACTCTGATTTGTTTCCACTATAAAATTATGCATTAATAGTCAAACTCTTAGAAACAGTAGACTAGTGGTTCCCAGGGGCTGGGGGAAGAGGAAAAAGGGGAGATGTTTAATGGATATAGAGTTTGTTTTGCAAGATGAAAAAGTTCCTGAGATCTGTTGCAAACAATGTATATAGTTAGCACTACTGTACTGTACACTTAAAAATGGTTAAGATGGTAAATTTTATGTTATGTGTTTTTGACTGCAATTAAAAAACTTTTTAATTAATGCATTTAGTTAAACTATGGAAAGACAATGAAATTACTTACCTTTGCAACTTTTAATTCTAGAAGTTCTTAGTTCGGTCTAATTTTCTCAAAGTTGTAGTCCCCAAGCATTAATTTATTTACAAATAGTTGATAATGCTTAATAGCACACAGCAAGCATTGTATAAATTTAACTCATTTAATCCTCATCACAATCCTGTGAGGTAGGTATTATTTTATTTTCTACCATTTTATTAGACATTTTCAAATACACAGAGAATTTGAAAGAATAGTACATTAAACAACCTTATACTCACTATCTAGATTCTACAGTTAACATTTTGTTGTATTTGCTTTATCACATATCTGTCCATACCTATATTCATCTATCAGTCTATCTTACTCTTTTAATGCGTTTCAAAGTAAATTGCAGACATCAATACACTTTGAAGATAGGTATTTTTATTATCCCCATTCTGTACTACAGGCATCGGAGACACGGAGAAGTTAAGTAATTTGTCAGCTTAAAAGTGGTATAACTAGGATTGGGACCAAGCCTTTCGTAACCATATCTACAGGATGCTAATTCACATAATATTAATAGGCATTACCAGAAAAAATAATTTTGTCATCCAACGAATTTGACAAATGCGTTATCTCAGCCTTGAAGATTCACATGTGTATTTTCATGGTACAGGATCTGTGAGGTTCAGCTGTAAAGAAACCCGTTTAACTTTAAGCCAACCATTTTCAGTTTTTTTGATCAGAGCACTCTCCTCCCCACCTTTCCTGCAAACATCCCACCTATTAACATCTCGTATAATAGGACCAGAATTCAGTGAAATAGACTCTGGAAAATGCTCATTTATAAGATAACCTAATTTTGCTTATTTAGGACAGAATATGTTTTTGAAGAGTTTATATTTTTATACATATTTAGATGTCCTAGGATTTTAGAGCTGGCTAAGATCTTAGCGTTCATTGAGACCAACACTTTCATTTCAGAGATGAGGGAACTGAGACACAGGGAGGTCAAGTGATTGATGCAAACTAAAGCAAGTTTAAGTGCTTAGAGCAGAAATGAGGGTAGAATGCGGCCTAGAACCTGGGGATGACGTTTAGTAGATACTCAGTAAATATTTGTTGAATAAATGAATACATCTTCTAATCTGTCCAGTTTTCTTTCTACTGCATATCTGTCTATATATTAGAATTTGTGTTAGTTTTCAGATTATAGTGGTCAGTAGAGTCTATTAACACTATCTGTATGTTACCCTTTGGTACAAATGATAGTTACTAAATTCTAAAAAGATGTTTTCTTGTAATGTATAACATACAGGAAATTGCACAAAACATAGTTGTACAATTTAACAAATAGTTATAAAGTGAACCCTGGTTTAATCCCCCAAGAAATAAAACATTGCTGGTACCTCAGAAGCCCCCGTGGGCCCGCTCCTGTTGCTGGTCCCCTTAATTATGTCCTTTTTCTCTTTCTTTTTTAGCTAATTTAACAGGACATGCGGAGAAGGTGGGGATTGAAAACTTTGAGCTCTTGAAGGTCCTAGGAACTGGAGGTAAGTCTTAAGTTAATTCTTTCTTTCTTTGTTTTTTTTTTTAGGTAAAAAAAGTACTTGTTATTCCTATGACAAAGGATTGATATCCCCAATACAGAAATCAGTTTAAATTTAAAAAGCATAAGGAATCCAATAGGAGAACTGTCAAAGAACATGAACAAACCGTTCACAGAAGAAATACAGAGGGCAAAATTTTAAAACTTGGCAAGGATTTAGAAGAACCACTCTCTTTTACCCTGCTGTTGGGAATGTAAATTACTTCAGTCTTTGCAGAGGACACAATATTAAAAAAGTCACTAACATTTATAGAGAGCTTGTTACTTGCCAAGTACTCTGTGAAATGCTTTATTCACAAATGGTTGATTCATTTAATCCTCACTCAACTTTGTTGGTATTCAGTGCTCATCATTATTAATAATGGAAAACTCAAGACCCTTTAGAAACCTAGCAGTACGGGTTTGGTTAAATGGAACATGGATCTATATGTTCTATAATCTATACAATATGATTGAAATGAGCTATGTTTACTAATATATTTGAAAGCTCTCACAATGTAATAAGTTCAAAAAAAGGTACAGAAGAGAATACAATATACCATTTCCATAATATAAAAAATTATATGAATAAATAGCTATATGTATATAGGAAAATCTCTGAGCTATACATCAAAATGATAATAGTGGGTGTTGGGATTTTAGATGATCTTGATTTTCTGCTTTATACTTTTCTGGGCGTTCTGAATTTTTGCTCCCACTGTCGTTGCTGCTTCAGAGTCAGGGCCTCACGGGTGTACAACCTGTGTGGTTGCAGAGACCTCTGCATTTAGAAGAGCCCCATGTTTGGTTTAATGCCCTGCCTTCATTGTTCTGAAGTTCTAAATAATTCGTGAGCAAGGCACCCAACGCTTTCACTTTGCACTGGGCCAGCGGATTACGTAGCTGGTCCTGTCAGGCGTGCACCTTGCCTCTTCACCTCTCCCCCCAGGAGGGGTTGCTCTGCAGTCACCACTGCTGTGAGAACTTGCTACTCTCATTTTCCTTCCTTCAGGTCAAAGTGAAAAAGAGTTTTTCTAAGTCCTTTTTTCCGTCCTCAGCAGGTCTATTGGCTCTTTCCCTGGAAGGGGAGAGAGAGCCTCAGAAGACAGACCATTTCTCTTTTGCACTAAAGTTTAGCTTCATACTCTCAGGAGCCTGTATACCTTCCTAGATTCCCAGCCAGGGAATCGGCATGACAAGATGGATTACAGCTGTCCATATAAGGGTATCTGTCCTTCCCTTCCAAAGTGCTAAACCTTCTAGTGGGAGAAAAGTCCTCTCTTCTGGGCTTCCACAGTCAATCCCAGCCACTGCCCTAGGATACTCATGTAGATGCATATGGTTGAGTTCCCATATGTAGTTTGTCTTTAGGTCATTCGGTAATGAGCCTTCATGCCTAGGGCCTTGCCGTACAAAGTCTTCATAATTTCCCTGAGTGGTTTAGCATATCATGTAGGGCCAACCTTTACAGCTGCCCGTGAATATGCCCTATGGTTTATTCTCATCAACTAAGGATTTTCTCATCAGGAAAAGTTTAGTGTAATTGTCAGCTTGGAGATTTTACTGTGCATTCTCACCTACAGATCATTTGTAAAGATGTATTAAAAAAAAAAAACTAGCCCCACCCCACCCTATGTCCAAGAAAGCATGCTTTCAAACTATCAAAATACTCTCCTTTATCCCTACCTTTGTTTCCTGTTTCAAAAGCAGTATCTACTCTAAGGGGAAAGAGGGTCACAGTCCTATGGTGACTGAATTCCATTAAAAATAGTGTTTGTGACATCTTGTCAAAAGCTTTTTCAGGGCAATTTATAGTATAGCCACAGAATCTATTTAACTGCAAGTTTTTAATTCTAATAGCTTTATTGTGATATAATTCATATATCAGTGGTTTTAGTATATTCACAGAGTTGTGCAACTATTACCACAATCAATTTTAGAACATTTTCCTTACCTCAAAAAGAAACTGTGAAAACTTAAGCTGTGACTTCTCAGGCTCACCATCCTTCCCAGCCCTGAACAACCACTAACCTACTTTCTGTATCTATATATTTGCCTATTCTGGACATTTCATATAAATTGAATTGTATAGTGTATGGTCTTTTGTGTATGGCTTCTTTCACTTAGCATACTGTTTTCTAGCTTCGTCCATGTTGTAGCGTATATCAATACTTCATTCCTTTTTATGACTTAATAATCCATTGTGTGGACTTACCACATATTGTTTATCCATTCATCAGTTGATGGACATTTGGATTGTTTCTACTTTTTGGCTGTTATGAATAATGCTGCTATCAACATTCATGTACAAGTTTTTGTGTGAGCACTTGTTTTAATTTCTCTTGGGTATATATGTAGCTGTGAATTGCTGGTTCAAATGGTTTAATTCTATGTTTAATTTCTTGAGGAGCTACCAGACTGTTTTCCAAAGTGGCTGCACCATTTTACACTCCTACCAGCAGCATATGAGGGTTCCGATATTGCCACATTCTTGCCAACACTTGTTATTATCTACTTTCTAACTTTTTTATTACAGTCATCCTACTGGATGTGAAGTGACCAGGGTTAGTTTTTAAGAATGAAATTCATCAATGCTTTTTGTCTTGCTTAAATCATTCAGGTTAGCTCACTCATTTTATATTTTCAGATATTTTACACAAAGTCATGCACACTTAAATATTTTGAATGCAAGTTCATATAACTTCCCTGTTAAGTTTATTCCAGTTTTAAGTGATCCTTGATGTGAGAATGATCTTTTTTATCTTCCTTTTTCTACAGGTTAGGTATAGCAATTTGTGAGACAGTAAGAAATCTGTGACAGAAAAATATTACATGCTTCAACTTAAATTATAATCTAATTGCCTAAGGAGTTTGTAATGTCTTGGCCTATATTTTTTCCATCAGAACTCATCTCTTAATTTAGTAATATAAATCATCAGGAAAATAGAGTTTGGATAAACAGAAATTTTCTTAACAGGTAACTTTTCAAGGGTAATGCCTTATACACAGTAGTCTCTCAATAAATGTTTACTGGATGAGTGAATAAAGGAATGAATGAAGGAGTGCTCTTATTCCATGTAGTAAGAGATTTCTGTAAAGATCTTTGAATATTTGAAAGCAAATTACCCAGCAACAGCAAATGTAAATCCTCTTTAGAAGAATAAACTCTTACCTAGACCTTAAAGAAGTTCCAAAGAAAGTTTTCCAGACATGATCTTACTATTAAAAATTGCAAACATTCAAGAAGCAAGGCACCATGAGTGAAAGAAGTAGAAACAACAAATAGCAGAATTAGACCTGCAGAGACTGTTGGGATTATTAGATATGGAATACGATACACATGTTTCTATGGTTTTTTTAATTAAAAAGAAATTTGATGTTAATATTAAAGAACAGGACGTGCTACAAAGTGACCAGAGTTGAAAAAGAACAAATCATACTTCTAGAAGTGAAAAAATAATTCAAATTATAAACTCAATGAATGATTCACTAACAGAAGAGATGTAGCTAACGAGAGAATTAGCAAATTGGGAGGTGGATTTGAGGAAAATACGCAGAATATAGACTGGAGAAAAAAGAGATGGCATATAAAAAAGAGAGATTAAGATAGAGAGGACAGATGGAAGATATAAATTTGCCTAATAGAGTGGGGAGAGGCTCTATCCAAAGAGATAATAGCTGAGAATTTACTAGGATTGATGGAGCATATGAATTCAGAGATTTAGGAAACAGAACAAATCCCAAGCAGACAGATAGAAAGAAATTCTTATATAGATACATCATAGAGAAACTGATGAACACCAGAGACGGAGAAATACCCTAAAAGCAGCAGGAGAGAAAAGGATTACTTAAAAAGGAACAGTTAGATTAACAAATGACTTTTCAGCAGCAACCATGAAAGCCATAGGAGCATGGAAGAAAATCTGCAAGATGCCCAGAGAAAATAACTGTCAATTTAGAATTGTATACCCAGCAAAATTATTTTCCAGAAGTGAGGGCAAAATAGACATTTTCATACATACGAAAGCTGAGGGTGTTTTCCATGGATAGGTCCTCACTAAAAGAATTTCTGAAGGATATAGTTTTAGGGAGAAGGAAAATGATCTCAGGGGAATTTCTGAGATACAGAAAGGAATGGTGAACAAAGAAAATCTAAACAATATTGACTGTGTAAAACCATAGTCATAATGTTGAATTTGTGGGGTTAGAAAAAGAAAACTGAAATTTTGGACAAAAACAGCATATAATTTGAGACTTGATAGGAGTTAGTGTTCTAAGGTAGTGTTCCTCAAACTTTAACAAGCATATGAATCTTAAAGTGTGTAAATTACCAAACTGATTGAAAAAAGAATAGAAAACCTGAATAGTCCTATAACTGCTAAAGAAATTGGTAAGTAAAAAATCTTCCTACTAGGAAAACACTTGGTGCAATTTTAAGTTCTGCCAAACATTCAAGGCGTAGGTAATTCTAATCTTCCACAAGCTCTTTTAGAGAACAGAAAAAGTGGATTATTTCCTTCATCTCCTTGTATAAAGCTAGTATAACCTTGACTCTAAAAGCATACAGAAGATGAGAAAGGAAAGTTATAGGCCAGTTGCACACGTGAATTTTTTTTTTTTTTTTTGTGAGGAAGATCAGCCCTGTGCTAACATCTGCCAATCCTCCTCTTTTTTTGCTGAGGAATACTGGCTCTGGGCTACATCCGTGCCCATCCTCCTCCACTTTATATGGGACGCCGCCACAGCATGGCCTGCCAAGCGGTGTGTCGGTGTGCGCCTGGGATCCGAACCGGCGAACCCCGGCTGCCACAGTGGAGTGCATGCACTTAACCGCTTGCGCCACTGGGCTGGCCCCTGTACACATGAAATTTTTAATATCAAATTTATAAAATTAAACCTTGTGTGTAGTTTCTTTCAGCACATTGAATACTTTGTCTCATTATCTACCTCAATTTTTTGAATTGA